AAATTGTGGAACCCCCCTTCGACAGCAGGAGAAGAAGGGGGATCTTTTTTGGACTGTTTAAAGTGAGTTTAAAGTAAAGTAACTTTTCACCGTCCTGATCCTGGAGCGGGGTGTCAAGACTGACATTTGAAGCTCATTGACCAGAGACAAACGTTTTTGACAGATAGCTAAAAGAAGAGAAACATAGTGATTCCACTGTTTCCCTTCGCATTTTAAAGGAACAAATATTGACAAAATGTCTCAAAAAGGAAAACTTTGTTGCAAGAACAAATAGAAGTTTTCCCCCTAGAGGGAGACTGTGAAACTGTAACCAATTCCAGGGAGCCGGCAGCTGTTACAGATTACAATCGTGGGAATAGACATTTGACCTTGCAGGACAATGTATTCACAAGCTCTGTTGTGTGCTTTCTATAAAACAAATGCCCTACTGGAACAGTTACATGAGAAGATGAATTTGATGGCGACTTCGACTAGAAATTTTGAACAGGCAGTGGGAAATTTTGAACAGATAGTGGGAAAATATGTGGAGCCCACCCAGGAATTAAATCAGGAGTGTGTCCTGACAGAACAGGCCCAACAGGAATATGAGCTTTCGGACTTGACAAATGAACTTGGAAAAGCCAGATTTGGAAAGAAAAAGTTTGGTTTGGCTTGGAAATGGGGGGCTGGATTGACCCCCCTATGCTGGGATGTTTGGACTTTTCAAATCTGGCAATGGGCCGTGAGATGTTTGGGATTGTGGGGGCTCTTAATTTTGGAGGGTTTTTGAAACATGTTTTTAAATACCACATGGAATTTAGTGTTGAATATGGAAAAGGGGCTGATCTGTCAAGAAGGGTCAAAAATATTGCCAAGCTGGAGTTACCACGAGCAGGAGACAAGGGAAAATACAGTTACAAATATGAAGAAGAGCTGCAGAAGGGACATGGAAGAGACTTGAGGGCCTCGGATATAAGGTTGCCAGGTTAATGGGCTAGATCGATGGGATAATAAGGACTGACAAAACCCGGGACCAGGAGGAAGGGACACTGGATGAAGATTGGATCTGTTTGTATTTCTTTTTTTTACTATTAGGACTGTTTTATAAAATTGATGAATGTTAGAAAAATGTTGGAATGAAATTACTCGGCTTTAGTAAAGATGTTTAAAGAATTATGAAAGAATATTATGGTTATGAGAAGTTGGTAAGGATAAGATTTAAGCTTTAAGTTTCAAGGTCTTTTTTTATATATAGAAAGATAAGATTAAAACAGTTTAAGGTAATGTAATGACAGAATATTATGAAATATGGAAAGGACTTGCTGGGATAATTAATAACTAGGATACAAAGAAAGGGAGGAGGAGGAGGTCAAAGAAAGAAGGTAATGACAGTTGAGGATTTGAGAATAATGAATTTGTTTTTAAATGTTCTTAAATGTCTGTGGTGTATTTTTGTTTTTTCCTGTTTTTTTTCCTTTTTTTGAATTTGTATTCGTATTGTTGGAAGTGGTTTGTTTTTCCCCTTTTCTACTTTGGTAACCATTTTTATTTTGTATTTTCTTCTTTTTTTATTTTTATTTTGTAACATTTTGAAAATCTCAATAAATATCTTATAAAAAAAAAATGAAAGGAGTAGGGTTCTGCTCTAGGCATGAAGTTTCTGTTTGTTTGTTTTTCTGGAGTTACTGAGAGCCACAAGAGTATGTGGATTATCCTATACAGTCAGCATGATTCTGGAGATGGGTAATGTTGGTTGATATATATCAGGGGAGAGATTTATCCCAAAGTATTTCAATTCTCCTCCTGATGCCTTATTTTATGTGTTACTCACAACTAATGCTATTAAAATTTATACCCTGGGTAGTCCAATTAAAAGGCAGATAGTTTATGATTTAATTCAAAAGGACTACTCTCATTTTTTCCCCCATCAAGAAATCCGTAACGGAACACAAGACTTCTCCCACATAATTATTATGGAATACAATATTTAGCCCCAGGGAATTCAAAATTGAGGGGAGCTGCTGTACTGCTGACACAATCTTTCGCTTTTGTATGTAAACAAATCTGTAAAGATAAAGAAGGTTGCTTTGTTTGTTTTTCCCCCAAAGGCAAACTAGCCAGAGAAGCAGGGGACAACAGTAGGGGGAGACGAGTGGGGCACACCCCACAAGGAAGGTACCATTAGCTGCACAGGCACCCTCGCCATCTGCCTGTTCGCCCATGTGAAATGCAGAATGCATTGCTGTGGGTCTACTTGCTTAGGCGAGTTCTCCCTGGCCAACCTGGAGTCCTGTCCGTACTTCTAGCTGGACAAGGAACCCATCAAGGAGCTTTGCCTGATGCTGGCTCCCCACCTGCAAACTCAGATCCCTGCCCACGGGGTCATCCCCATGCTCTAGAACAGGGTTTCCAACTGTTTTTGGACTACACTTCCCATCATCCCTGACACTGGTCCTGCTAGGTTGGGATGATGGGAGTTGTACTCTTTAAAAAGTGGGAGACGCAAGTTTGAGGAATTCTGCTCCAGAAGGTGCTCCTGGGCTTGTGCTACTTGGCCATGGGTCTCTTCCAGTAGGATGTGGCCTATGGTGCTCAACCTGCCTCCCGGTCCTCCACCAGCAGGTGCCTGTCTTCCTTGCTGGATGCCATAAAGGCCCACCCGCATGTTTACTGCCACCTGCATGTTTACTGCCACCACCAATACTCCATCAATGTGATGGCCATCTGCAGCAAATAGACTTTTTGCAGTTTGGAATGTGGTGGGGAAATGCATTGAAATGAATAATGGGAGACTTGTAAAAAACACTCCATATGGAAATCAGGATGAATGCAGGTTGATGCTCATTGTAATACAACTGCCCTGTAAACAAATCAGAACAAATGCTCTGCAAAGACTGAACATGGTCTACCAACCATATCAGCTTTCTCCAAGCAAAACAAGATGAATGATGACTAAACGGGTCTTCTTGTGCAGTTCTTTATAAATGAGATGAAGTTTAAAACATATGAAGAGAAGGTAAAAGAGGCTATTTAGGTTTGTGATAAAAGCAAGGGTGCTGGGGGGGGGAATGATCTTTGCAAAATCTGATATGAATAGATCTGAACTTCACCACCTACACTAATGTGCAGATGGGAACTTGGGCTGCAATCCCAACCCATTTACCTATGAGTAAGCTCCACTGATTTCAATAGGGCTTACATCTGAAAAGATGTGGTTAAGATTGTGCTGTTGGTTTTCCACTGGCTTTCACACTTTTTAAAAGATGTTTATTTTAAGAGAAAATACACATTTTAAAACATGTATTTAAATATAAATTTGCATGCTGACTTTTATTTATAATATAGAAATGTGACAGCAGAGACTTATGGCTGAGCAGATGTGAAAGGGGCACAAATAGAAATAGACTGGTTTGCTCATCCCTAGATAAAAAAGAAGAAATAAGTTCCCAACTCAGGGGCAGGGGAGGGATGTCAGAAAAGTTCAAAACAAAAACAGTGACAACCACAGGTCCTATAGGAATGTATTGGAAGAGGGTGAATGAGAACATGCTTGGTGTGCAAAGGGCTCTTTCAGAAAGCGGGAATATTCCCTGAATGACCTCTCAAAAAGGTCCCCCTTCTTCATGCCTCTTTTCCTACAGATCACAGCAGTTGCTTCAATAGCAGGATGTTGTTGTGGGTTCCTTCTTTCCCCCAACTAGGGTTGCTTCCTTCTCACAGTAAGATGGACCAAGTTGTGAGCATAATAACACTGCAGAGCAAAGCAGATTAGGTCTTTGTGATGATTCAATGAAGCCAATTCAGAGTGAGGGCGGGAAATATTGCCGTCACTCTCTAGCTGGGGACTGTAGATGTAGTTTGAGTGGCTATCAGAGGAAGGATGAGACTGCTGCTGTAGCCACAAACACTAACCTGCTTAATGTTAACGGTTTCACCTCTTGCATGCTTGCCCTCCATCATATGCCCATTGAGATCAATACCTGACCATTCCTGCTCTTTTCGCCCTGGCAGTGGCTCTACACAGTGAAGGTTGATTCAAGAGGGTGTATGGGACTCTGCCCCACCAACCTTAGCCACCCCTCAGATAGCCCCCACCTGCCTGCTTCTTATTTTCAACCATTCCATGGGCCGGAACTTGCTGTCACCTTTCTCCTCCTCAGTGCTGCCCTTGTAGAACACAGCTGGGAGGATGGACCAAAAATAGAATGAGTTGTCTCTCACTGATTCTGGCTCCTCCTGCTGTTGGGCTCCTGGTCTTCCAGCCTACCATTCCCAACAGGCACCAGGCACCACTGGCTCCACTTTTTGCATGCTTCCACCATGTGCATAGTAAGATCAATACCTTCATAGTCTGCCCCCACCTCACAACAGGTGAACGTTTTCACACACACATCCCAATTGCCAAAATAGGTGGGAGTTTGCACAGCAGGAAAAAAAGTCAATGGAAAATATCTCACCCTTTCTGTTCCATCTCACCTTTAGACCCAGTTTAGGTTACAGTGCAAAAAAAGGCTGCAGCAACATTTGCAGTCTCCAAAGATAAAGCAAGTTTTATTCCTTGCATTCTCGAACCCTAGGGAAGGGGTGGTCAACTGTGCATGCTCCAGATGTTTTAGACTACAACACTCATCATCCCTCACTATTGGCAAAGCTGGCTGGGGCTGATGGGAATTGTAGTCCAGAACATCTGGGGAATACCAGATTGGTTACATTTCCCTAGGGAAACTAGCTACAGTTAGCAGACCCTTGGCCTGCAAAGAAAAGCCTGGAAGGACTTAAGCTATCTTTTGAGGGTATGTGGCTATACTGGCAAGAGAAAACATGGCTTATATCAGTAATGAGTTGGTACATTCCTGCTTGTAACTATGACTTTGCAATGGGCCAATAGGCCTGAGGTATGCAAATGGTTAAAGTCAGGCTTTGTCCTTATTGGTTCACTTTGAAGTTGAAGACACAATCACACTCTCTTATGGAACAATGGTATATCATTCAAATGCACAAGCTGGTCTAGGGAAGGCCTTAAAGGCCCACAATAGCAGGGGTGTGTGTGCAACCAGGAAGACACCTCCAAGATGACCGCCATCATGCGTTAACACCCCTTTATAGACACAGTCCGGTATAGCATGTCGGAATCAAGGGGCATAGTCTCGTCATAGGCGGCTTTTTTAATCATCTTCAAGGAGCAGCAGTCCAACAGGCTGAACTTCATTGAACTGTTTCTAGAGGTGCTGAAAACAGCAGAGAAAATTGCCCGAGAAACGTGTGAGAAAAGGAAAGTATGACAACATGGCCAAGGGATACAGGACCCACTGCTCAAAGAAAAGGCAAAGATCCAGTCGGCTGAGAAGAGTGACAAAGTCACACCGGAGACATCGAACAAGATCAAAGAGGAGGAAACATCACTCCAAAAGACGGAGGCCATTACCTGCTTTCTTCCTCTTCATGGCAGACAAACGTCCCTCGCTCAGGTGTGATCATCCAAACTGGACTGTGGTCCAGATGGCCAAACGGTTGGGGGCTATGTGGCACCAGCAGTCCACTGCTGACAAAGAAAAGTACAAGAAAAAAGCAGCTCAGCTGTGGAGCCAGTACCATAAGGGCAAGGGCAAGGGCAACTGCACCAAGAATCAGAAGAAGAAGAAGTCAGGCAGGTGCTCCGGATTTATGAGAGACTTGGAACGCCTGGGCTGTTGATAAGTCTGGGAAGCCATTTTAAGACAGCTCCTCACCCACCACGTCCAGAGCTTCTGTTAACGCTTGAGTAAAACTAAGGGCACATCCCTAGCTAGTGCACTGATTTATGAGTGGAATTATTTTCTAGAAAAGAAATAAGCTGTTGGCGGGGGGAGGGGATGATTTTGCTTAGCCAGGTATGCAACTTCTTCTAGTGATGGCTATAAGGTTTAAGATGATTCAGAACTCCAGATTTCCAACAACAAAGTGGTAAATTTGGGTTGGGGTTGGGGTGTGTTGTCTGGCAGAGAGAGGATCTAGTGCTACACTGGAAAGCCGTCCAGGAAGACCTGAGTAGAAGCAGGCCTGCAGAGGATGCTGCACCAGTGGCAACTGAGGATTTATATACAGGACTGGCCCTACCATTAGACAACATGAGGTGACTGCCTTATATGCTCACATTAGGTCTACTGAATGTGGGGTATTGTCCTCGGGTATGGTCAAGGGGTTTCTCTGGGTACCATGCTATCCTATGGTCAAGCTAGGTCCACCGAGTGGGGTCCTCATCAGAGGAGGACTTCAATTCCAGCTATAGAAGCCAGCGGTTTTTAAGACCAGATAAACTCTGATTCTACTTAGTGGAGCTTTAATTGTCTGCTCCACTTTCAGTGAAGTGTTGTTGTTTTGGATTTTTTCATTTTTATCGGCCTTGTGTCTGTTTACAGAGAAAGGCGAGGTGCAATGGCTGTTCTAAATACATAAAATATGCAGTCAAAGACATGAAGCTCCCTTATATCAGGTCAGAACATTTGCCCAGTTTAACCCAATACTGGCTACACTGACTGGATATAGCTCTTCATGGGTCTTGGGCAGAGAAGAGGGCCCTTATCATCACCTTTTAACTGGTGATCCCAGGAATCAAACCTACAACCTTCCAAATACTAAGCATGTGCACCACCACTGAGCTGTATGACCCAGTGGTCTAATGCTGCGCACTGCAAGCATAACCCCCAGTGGATGGATTAGACCTTGGTGTATATTCCAACATGCACATTGGAACAGATCAAAAGGGGTGTGCACATGCACACACACCATTGCAGATACTGAATTTGCAGGAAGAGCATTGGGGAGCAGCATGGCCAGCAGATTTTAGGGTAAGGCTGGCATGCACAATCCTGACCCCCTTTGCACATCCAGTGAATGTTTTGGGAGGGAGCACTGATGTGTGAAGATCCCTGTAACAAACAGGTTTACCTACAGCCCCTACTAGTATGATGGACTATGATGGAGGAAACAAGGGCTCAATCAGAGCAACTTGTCTGTTACCTGGGAGCTACCCTTGGTTCTGCAAACCCACCACTCGATTCTGCTTCCTGATCTCACTTTGGAACCTGGTATCTCAGAGTCTCCAGGACTGCATTTATGAACTGTGCTTCCCTCAGTCTCCCATTCATCTGTCAGGTGAGCTCTGCCTGAGGTCTGGCCCATTAGGACTGAGGAGAGGGATAGGATTCAAAACTAGTTTACTGACTTAGGTTTACCTGGAAATTAGTTAGTACACCACATATGACTTTCTCCCCTTTTCTCCATTGTCAATCCTGCCCCCTTCAAAAGAACAAACTTGAAACCATCTGCTCTGATGCCAAGAGAATAATTCTGATGGCCACAATTTTGCCTTAGAGAGAATTTAAGAAGCAACGACAGTTTGTTGTTGCAGATGCCACTGTCATCTTGAGCGAAAAACAACCACCACCCAATTCTATTCTATTCTATGACTTCGTGGCAGAGTATTTAACTGAGCAGGGACAAGGAAATATCACCCTAATGGGACACCAGCATCCTGACAGTCTCCATTCATTAAAAACTATTTCTAGCCATACTCCAGAAGGGTAACTGCTTGGGTTATTTTTCACTGATGCTGCTAAAAATGTTTGAAAGACTATTAAGTTTTGTTTTCTATTTTTTTTTAAAAAAAATGCACGTTTTAACTGCATTGTGCTCCCCTAAATGTGGTAATGGGAGGAAATAATGCAAATGCTCCCCCTGCAAGGCATACTCTCAAGGGAGTGTTGGGCAAATCTCAGCTCACTCAGTGTAATAATGAAGCCTAACATAGTCACACAACCACTGTCAACTAAGATTGCCCCCTGGAACATTCTACAGATTCCCCAGCAGCAGGAAAGGGTCCTGTGGTAGATGTGGATGGATACCTCAGCAGGCATGGGACGCGGGTGGTGCTGTGGGCCTAGGACTTGCCGATCAGAAGGTCGGCAGTTCGAAACCCCGTGACGGGGTGAGCTCCCGTTGCTTGGTCCCTGCTCCTGCCCACCTAGCAGTTCAAAAGCACGTCAAAGTGCAAGTAGATAAATAGGTACCGCTCCGGCGGGAAGGTAAACGGCATTTCCGTGCGCTGCTCTGGTTCGCCAGAAGCGGCTTAGTCATGCTGGCCACATGACCCGGAAGCTGTATGCCGGCTCCCTCGGCCAATAAAGCGAGATGAGCACCGTAACCCGAGTTGGCCACGACTGAACCTAATGGTCAGGGGTCCCTTTACCCTTTACCTTTACCTCAGCAGGCAAGTGTGCACCTTAAGCAGGAGGATATGATATTATTTTTCCTTGGGGCTGCTGCAGCTCGTGAACAGCAGCAGGAAAAATGGGCTGGGCTGCCACACTCAGGATAGAGAAATCTGTCTATTTCTAGTCTTTGCCACTTTTGCAGGATTTTGCCCATCGTTCTATTGTTTTAAAGTTATAAATTAGGAGTGGGGGAAGACTTTGGGTGGGGGAGTTCCATCTTCTAGAGAGAACTCATCTGATCTACAACAAACTAATCAATGTGTAGACTGGAATGTGGTGTGCTTCAGAATCTGTACTCCTCCCAAAGAGATCTGTGAGGTAATACTAGTCGAAGGGCTACATCCTGAACTCTTCCCTTCTTTTTAAAACAGGATCTGGCCCTTCACAGAGATACTATAGGGGAGATGGCTGCCCCATGAGGGACAATGGCATCACCTTCTGTCCCTCACAGGCCACTTCAAATTGTGCGGCAGATGCTGTGATATCTAGAAAGATGTAAATACAGCCCTCAGACCACCTTGTAAACGTGTTGTGAGTATATTGGTGGAATCTGTGTTCGTTTGTTATAAAGTGCATTTTTACGGAGGGGAGGGGCCTACACTTGCTGTTTCAAACTAGACCTAAAGGACTTAATATTGGTCATGTGTGGAATGGGCACAGACCATATTGAGGCCGATCTGTCCATCCCTAATTATAGTACATATTGTAATGTGTATTTCCCCCCCAACATATGGTTTCCAATGCACATTCTGATAAACTGCTGAGACTGTCTTACAGCATTTGGAGAAGTGCAAAATCAGGTAGGTGGCTCCGCTTCTTTGGGGAAGGGATAAAACTCAGTGGTGGAGCATCTGCTTTGCATGCAGAAGGTGTCAGGTTCAGTCCCTGACATTTCCAGGTAGGGCTGGGGAACACTTCTATCTGAAACCCTGGAGAGTCGCTGCCAGTCAGTGTAGATGGGTCAATGGTCTGACTCAGTACAAGGCAGCTTCCTTATGTTCCTATGATATGCTTGGTATTCTCAGAGATGTGGAACAGGTTGTTTCAAGTGAGTTCTGATCCATTCATAAATCTTAGAGATGTGGATCAGGTGGTTTCAAATAGGAGTTTTGCAGAGTGAATCCCTGTGCCCAGGCTTTTATCTCTAGGAGCTCTGAGGTTATGCCACTGGGTATCAAGGGGTCTCAATTCCATCAGTCCTGACAACCTCACTTAATGTAAGCCACTTTGACAGCAACCATAACTTCTAACAATGTATAGATCTTTTGGGACTCCCTCCGCCTACTCCGTCCTATTTCAGCTGCAATTTCTCTCTTTCTAGCTAAGGTTGAGCTAAGCCTCTAACTGTTCCCTGATCCTACAAGAACTTAACCCTAAGCACCAAAGCAACCATTATATGGGCAAATGCACAGCCCCATCCTCCTGTTTGCAGAGAAAACACCAAACACAGAAGGGGGTCTGCTTTCAGGAGAAGAATGGAATGGGTTGGGAGGAGTGAACCAGATTTGATTCCCTCCTCCTCCACATGCAGTTGCTGGGTGACCTTGGGCTAGTCACACTTCTCTCTGAAGTCCCTCAGCCTCACTCACCTCACAGAGTGTTTGTTGTGGGGGAGGAAGAGAAAGGAGATGGTTAGCCTCTTTGAGACTCCTTCGAGTAGTGATAAAGCAGAATATCAAATCCAAACTCCTCCTCCTCCTCCTCCTCCTCTTCTTCTTCTTCTTCTTCTTCTTCTTCTTCACAAGGCAAATATCCTCCAGAAATCCCTACTCCCAGACAGGCTCACTTTTATTTTCTGAGCCAAGCTTGGGAGACAAGTTTGCAAACTGGTGAGAGGATTTGCTGGGCAAGATTGACAGAAAGGACAATAATTAGTGCCCACGTACTTACTTCCTGAGACATGAGTGGCGCTGTGAGTTAAACCACAGAGCCTAGGACTTGCCGATCAGAAGGTCGGCGGTTCGAATCCCCGTGACGCAGTGAGCTCCCGTTGCTCGGTCCCTGCATCTGCCAACCTAGCAGTTCAAAAGCACACCCAAAAGTGCAAATAGATAAATAGGTACCACTCCGGCAGGAAGGTAAGCGGCGTTTCTGTGCACTGCTCTGGTTCGCCAGAAGTGGCTTAGTCATGCTGGCCACATGACCTGGAAGCTGTACACCGGCTCCCTCGGCCAATAAAGCAAGATGAGCGGCGCAACCCCAGAGTCAGCCACGACTGGACCTAATGGTCAGGGGTCCCTTTACCTTTACCTTTACTTCCTGCCTATCAAGTCTCATTTGAAAGTACTACACAACAGGTTGAGGTTTGATCCCTGTGACAGCTGCATGGTCCTGCATTACAGGGGGTTGGATTAGATGATCCTCAGGGTCCCTTCTAACACTACAATTCTATGAAAACACACACACACACACACACACACAACCCAGCTTAGTCCCTACAACATGAAGAAAAAGAGGTGGGAATCCCCTATTTATGTGGTATCACCTAATGTGGCCTTAGGGCACTCTCAAGAAAGGGACAAATCCTCACATTCTGCTCTCACAGAACTCTCATCAAGGACCTGAATCTTAGTCACTATCTACATCAGGGGTGGATAAACTGCAGCTGTCCAGCAGTTGCTAAACTATGGCTCCTATCATTAGTGGCCATTTGCTATTCTGGCTGGGGTTTGATGGGAGCTGGGAGCCCAACAACGTATGCAGGGCCACATGCTCCCCACCACACCACTCAACATCTTACAAACAACACAACATGATAATAATAATAATAAGGCTCCCCTGCACACTTGCAGACTCCGAATTCAATGTATATTGGTTCAATCTGGGACCATCGCTCCTTCTCACATGCACAGCCTTCAGCAGGGAGAGACACTTTACATATTTTTCATATGCTCCAAACTAATGAAAATGACATTATAATAGATCTTGTAATATCATTTTTATACAGCTTAATGCGGCCTTTGTTACCGTTGCTAAGAGGCAGGAGATGACTAAAGAGAATACCTTTTAAGTTCTGCCGAAGAAAATCAGCAGCAATGCCACTTTAAATTTAGCGAGACAGGCTAAATGGATTAATTTGGATCACTGGCAGATAAATGAGTGGTGGTGTGCGTATGTGGGGAGTGGAGTAGAGAATGGATTAATTTTGATGGCTACCTGACACAGCCTAAGAAAATACTGGTGCTTCAGTATGCTTAATCCACTGATCCAGGAAAGGATATCCCCTTACTTTTTAAGGGCTCACAGCAATCAAGACAGGGACTAAGATACTGGTGGGCAGTGGAGGTGCCAGCCATTTCCTCCTGAGCCATTTTCTTGATCTAACCACCACCATCCCGCCGCCCACCAAAAAGTGCCTTAGGGCCAGATGACATTTTTGAGGGGAGATATTCATCAGGAAAATAGTGCAGAGGAAATGGCTAAATCCCCCTTCCCTCAGCATCAGGGTGCTGATCTGAACTTTGCACACACATACACATCTCTCAAGGTATTTGCATTAAAAAAAAAACCTGCACAATGAATGCAAAGTCAGGTTAATGTCACATGGCTCTAAAACTAGCAAAATGTTTCAGAAAGGTTCTATTCTCCACTGTAAAGCCGCGTTCCACTTCCCTAATTCACAGCGTCACTAGGAAAGCACTAAAGTTTTATTAGGCACCGGATAACCTGTACACAATACAACCTGGATCTGAAACAAGTTTGCTATTTTGATGTAACAATTCCCTCCCGAGAAGTGCTTTTAAAATAGGTCCTGTGAATTCATGTGAAGGTCATGTTGGCATTTAAAAAAGACAAAGAGTCAGTTTGGTCCCTGTACCCCAAATCTGAAAGCAATACATTCACAGAGCTGAAAGAAATCTATAATTCTGATCATATTAGGTTGCTTTAGACAAAGCCAGAACATTGGTCCCATCCACTCCCCGATTTATCTACTCTGAGAAGTTGGGGCTTGTGGAACCTCAGCCAGTGGCATTTCCTCTTCATTCATCTAAGGGTGCCAATAATTAAATCTGGGATCTTCTGCATGCAAACCATGAAGCTATGGCTTCTTCTACCTGTTGGGTTGATCAACTCCTGAACCAGGGATCAAGCTGCTAGCCAGACTGGACCTTTAGAAAGAGCAGAAAGGCACATCTGTCCGTGGAGGCCAACCCAAAAATGGTAATCCCCAAAGTTCCCCAAAGAAGCCCCCAACCCCATCACAAAGCATAGAAGTACTTGATCTGAAACAAAACCAACCTGAAACTCTCTGGGAGGGGCACTGAGAATCTTAGATGAGATTGTGAGATGCTGACAAACCTAATGCATTTCTGGAAGCTATGTATGACTGACACGCACACACCATTTTTGAAGGTCAAAAGCATCCCTTGCAAGGAAGACTTTACACGATTAAGATTCCCTTGGCAGATGTATTAAATTTTAGACAAAGGTCTATTATTAACTTTAGTGGTATTTCCAAAAAAGGGAGCTATGTATGTCTTTAAAAAAATATGGGGAAACAACAAGGTCAAATTAAACACACACACACACACACACACACACACACACACACACCAAGCAGCCTGAATTGTTGAAAGAAGAAGTGAATTACTATGGAAGGAGAGGTGAGCTAACCTTAAAATGCCTCTCCAAGTGAGCCCCCTGCCACTCCTCTAATGGAGGTTATTTGTAGCTATACTCATTTTAACCGGCAGAGTTATGGCTGCATCAGCGCTTTCTATTAACAACATCTTTCTCTTCTACACCTTTAAGCCACTGCACCAAAAGTTCTACAGAATCAAATCTATAAGAAGGGAGGAGGTTTCTCTTAGTTTCTCATTTTTCTAATTTTAAGTTCAGTTCTCAGCTTTTCCATATCCTTATGAAAATTCATCCAAATTTTAGTGTGTAAATTCTCCTTATATACTCATTTTAATGCAATTTTTGCTTGTAAAACATTTTCCCCAATATGAAGCATTTTTGTTTGTTATTTGATGATAGATATCATTCAGTTCTCCTATTGTTTCAGAAAGTGTGAATTAGGCAGGTTCAACTTTGAACGTGAACTGAAGCAAGTTTCTCCTCCAGCCTTGCATGCATAGTCTCCAACTGCCCCCAAAATGCCAGGACTGTCACAAAAAAACACTTAGGCCACTGCAACTTCTCACTTTGTCATGCAGAATCACAAATTCCTATCCTGCAGCTACTGAAAGACCTAGCTCACTGCTAAGTCTTCACCAATTAATGCGCTCCAGATATTTTGGCTTACAATTCCCATCAGTCCCAAGTCAGCATGGTCAATAATATGAAATGATGCGAGCTTTGAAATAGGACTTTATTTTATTTCATTTCCTGGTGCAAAACATAAAGGGTTCCACAAATTCAGATCACCAAGCCAAAAAATTTGGACAATAGAACACTGCCCCTCTCTTTGACTGTGGCTCTTCTCCACACCAGTGTTACTATAGGTTGGAATCCACATGGAGGGTGCTTTGTGAAATTTGATGCAAAATTGGGAGAGAGTGGGGAGGAGGGATAATAATAATAATAATAATAATAATAATTTATTTATACCCCGCCCTCCCTGGCCAGAGCCAGGCTCAGGGCGGCTAACACCAGTAAAATTACAGTAAAAACACAATAAGGGGGGGGGGACAACAATTTAAAATACAGGTTAAAATGCAATTTAAAATGAAGCCTCATTTTAAAAGTAGCCCATAGATCAAAACCATAAGCAGAGGGAAACATAAGGGTCAGATTGAGTCCAAACCAAAGGCCAGGCGGAACAGCTCTGTATTTCAGGCCCTGTGGAAAGATGTCAAGTCTCGCAAGGCTCTAGTCTCTTGTGACAGAGCGTTCCACCAAGTCGGGGCCAGTACTGAAAAGGCCCTGGCCCTAGTTGAGACCAATCTAACCAC